AGCCTTCTCTGTTGGAGCCCCCACCCTCTGGAACGAACTACCCCCAGAGATCCGGGTGATTCCGGATCTCCCCTCCTTCCGCCGCGCCCTCAAGACATGGCTATTTCAGCTGGCAGGACTGGCCTAAGGGGTATTTTAAATTTGGTTTTTTAAATAACTTTGAAAAAAAGAAAAGGCCTATATTAATATTTCATTTTAACCACATTTTAAATTTTGTATATTGTATTAGCTATTTTGTTTTAAACTGGCTGTAAGCCGCCCTGAGTCCACCAGGAGAAGGGCGGGGTATAAATGTGATAAATAAATAAAATAAAATAAAATAAAATAAAATAAAATAAAATAAAATAAAATAAAATAAAATAAAATAAAATAAATAAATAAATAAGGAGCAAAATGGAAAAGGCCAGCATATAGCAGAATTCAATAGGTGGCTAAAGGAGTGATGTAAAGGGGAAGGCTTTGGTTATATTAGTCACGATGTCTGTAGCTGATCCAATGAAAAAATGTACAAAAGAGACGGTTTGCATCTATCAAAGAAAGGGACTGAGTTACTTGGCAATAAATTCACAGATTTTTCTGGAGGAATATTTAAACTAAACAATGGAGACAGTGAGCTAACTGATACAGAACATTCCTGTCCCCGGCAATCTAAAAATTATAGGGCTATCAGTGCATGTAACATAGATGTGTGTGTGGACAAGAATATCAACCTTGCTGTCAAGCAAAATCAAGCCTTTAATAGGGAGTGCCACACAAAGTGCACTAACCAAACAGGTGGTAAGAAAATAGGGGAACTCAGGCACCACACAGGTTATGTAGAAAGTAAACACAGGGTCAGTCATAAAGGACTCAAATGTCTATACACCAATGCACAGAGTATGAACAGCGAACAGGATGAACTAGAAATTCAGGTTAATGAGGGCAGATATGATATTGTTACCAATACGGAAACATGATGGGATGAAACCCTACCATGGAACATACAGCTATTTAAATTATTTAAAAGAAACAGACCAAATAAAAGAGGAGGTGGAGTTGCTCTCTATATAAGAAATAACTACATCTCTACAAAAATAGAGCACAACAATGATAAAAACTGTCTTGAATGCATTTGGGTCAATATAAAAGGGGGGAAAAATGACATTGCCATAGGTGTATACTACAGACTACCCAACCAAACAGAGGAAATAGATCAGGGATGTCAAACTCAATTTCATTGAGGGCCGCATCAGCATTGCAGTTGCCCTCAGGGGACCGGGTGGGTGTGGCCAAGGTGGGTGCGGCCTACTGGGTGGGCAGGATGGAGTTGGGTGTGGCCTACTGAGTGGGTGTGGCCAGCTCTACATTGTTCGCGTCAAGGGTGCCTGTGAGGGCGTGGGCAGGAGTGGGATAGATCTGAGGGTCTCTGGCAGAAGTGGGACCAGGGCAAGTGCCAAGGCATGGTCCACTGGAGGAGCCTCACTATTCCTATCAGGCCATGCAGGGGTAGGGGCTTATGGAGCTAAGATTGAATGCGTTTCAGTATAGATGACCACCACAAAATTGTATATTGGCTCCTAGCTGGCCTGGGCCAGGGCCAAGGCAGAGGGTGACGTTCCCTCACTGTTTCCAGGATGGCTTCGTGGGCCACATGAAACCACTTTGGGGGCCGCATCCAGCCCCTGGGCTTTGTGTTTGACATGTCTGAAATAGATGAACTTTTTGCTAGTCAGCTAACTAAGGTATGTAGGAAGCACATCACAATAGTAATGGGGGACTTTAATTACCCTAACATCAACTGGGAGACAAACTCTGCACCAAGTGGAAGATCAAACAGATTCCTGACAGCTATTTGCTGATATTCTGCCTTAGTTATGTGCCCCTCTTTCCACTTTTTATACTTGTCCTTTTTATCTTTCAATTTATCAGAGAGTTCTTTATGCAGCCATGCTGGTTTCTTTTGAGAGCTGTTATTTTTCCTCTTTGTTGGTATTGTGCTGGACTGGGCTTTTATTATCTCACTTTTCAAAATTTCCCAAGCTTCTTGAGTTGTTTTCCCCCTGAGGATTCTCATCCATGGAATCCTTCCCAAGCTCTTAAGTTTATTGCAATTAGCTCTCTTAAAGTCCAAGACTATAGTTTGACTATGTTCTATTGCTTGCATAATGTTGAATTACAATATTGCATGGTCACTCCCTGGCTCCAAGGTTCCTGTGGTTTCAACACTTTTTATCATTTTATCTCTGTTAGTGGTCATCTCTGTCAGGCAGTAACTCAGTTTATGTACGTAAGAGCAGGTCATGTCACAACAGCCTTCTGACTCATGCTAACCTGCAGCCAAGCTCTCCTTTAAACACGTCACCTCACGACACTCGGTTGCCGCTCCTCCTCCTGCTTTTGCTGCCTGTCTCAACAAGTAACTGCTCCCCAGCGGCTCTCCCAAACGGAATGTGCGCCTGCGCTACCGGAGCCCCAGCTCGGCAGGCGAAGCAGGACAGGAGAAGGGGCGGGGTCATGACCAAGACGCGGAAGGTGTCCTCGACGCGTGCGCACCACAAGACTTTGGCTCAGCCAAAGGGGCGGATTCGGAGGGGCGCATGCGCAGAAGACGTGGCAGCTGGCGTAGTGTCTGGGGCGCAGCCTGTTCTCGGTATTGTTGGCGGTCAGGATGGACGAGGATATTTTGACAACGCTAAAGATCCTCATAATCGGCGAAAGCGGCGTGGGCAAGTCCAGGTAACTCCCTCCCTAGCTCGGGCCCTGAGTCTTAGCGTCCTTTCTCCCACTGCCGGGCTTCCTCGCCCCACCCCGCCTAGGCCCCGTTTGGGCGCCCCTTCGAGCCAAAGGGCATTTTCTCTGCCCGGAGGGGCGTTGTGAGGAGTGGGGAGCTTATTCCCCGACGGTCATTTATATTTACTCGCGAGAAGGTTCTCAGAGTTGGTGGGACTCGTTCTTCACTAAGGGTGGGGCGGCGGTCTGGGCGATGAAGCACATCTGAAAGCCGCAACCCCGAATCCCTCCTCTGTGCTTGTAGTTCACCTGTGGCTCAGAGGAGAGTGTCGCACTCTGCGAATGCTCAGAGGCACTGCGCTAGTCTTTATTCTGCTTGATTGCGTTTGAAAGCCAGCTAGGAGGCTGAACTTAATGTAGTTGTGGGAGGGTGAACACTCTCAATTTTGGGGTGCTTCCTATAAATGTTGCCCTTGTTGACTCCAGAGAGAGGCGTGGCCTTGCCTTTTGGGGGGGGGAAGAGGGAGGGGTGGCAGTTTGCTCATGGCTGCCTGCTCAGTCCATAGTACACGTGATTGGTGATTCTTGGATTGCTTACAATAACCTTTGCCTTGCTTGTGATGTATTTCTTATAATCCCCTTGGTATTATTACTTGTGGTGGAGTAATATCTGTGGTGGTATGACATGGCTTAGCTTTACTGCTGTGAGCAGTGTGTTGATCCAGATTTTTAAGAAAACATCAACCACAAATGAAAAACAAGATGTCATAATACAGTAGTGAATTCCAGCAGTTAAAGACTATTTCATGTTTGTTTATTTTATGTGGTCATCCATCTCAAGTAATAACTCTGAGTTGCTAACAATGTTAAAAATATAAAAAAGAGAAAGAAAAAGAAACCCAAAACAACAAACATAAAACAATACCTAAGATGTAAACAGATCCACCCATAACAATTAACATAGCCAATGCATTGGCTCAACCCCACCTCCTGATCCCCAGGCTTGGTGACAGAACCAGTTTTTTAAGTCCTTCAGAAAGACTGATGTGTTCTGGAAGCAATGGTAAACTTCATAAGAAATTTATCTGATGTTTGTATTAAGTTGGATTGTGAGTCAAGATGTTTTGGTTGTCTATCACTATTCGCTAGGCTTGTAGAAATATGTTCTCTATAGCATTGGCTATGTGATAAAATAGTTTCTGATATCTAAATCTACAATTCAGAAATTACACAAGTGAAAGAAAGTGGGGGGAGGGATGCATGCATGTTTGTACTCCCCCCCACATCCTTCCCTTCTCCATTGCCTTGATATACTATTTTTTTTTTGCAAGTGCTTTGCTAACAGGCAGAGTTTCAAAATACCTTTTGCATTAGATCATCCCCAAGTATATGACTTTAAAAGTTTACATTTTGCAAGGTATTGTTTATCTGTAAATAAATAATGCAAGGCATACTGCAAGCTTCAGAGCTTCTACGAAAGTAAGCTGAGATTGTACTAGGGATAAAGTTAAGATACTTTGTGGTATATAGCATGAAGGATAAGAGACTGGAAGGGGTGCTTTTTTTTAATGCAGAGTGTATTTACTTAAACATGAGATGGTGTGTTGAATATAATTGAACAAGTAGAATATGATCTTTTTTTTTGTTCTCCTGCGGTTGAAACTTGGGTATTTTACTACAGCAGACTCCCAGTGGGATGAAATAGGCAACATGGTGTTCCTAAGAAATCTTGAGCAACAACTCATGTAATCCTTACTTGTTAGCTATGCTAATTTATGGGGATTTTCTAGTCTAAAAGATATAGTGAGCAATGAGTTGCCTATCCCTCGAACAAACTTTGGCCAGATGTGTAAATGTCTATTATTCAACACTTCTTTGTGCAGCTGTCCTTCAAGATTGATTCATATAATCTGCACATCTTTGGTATAGTGAGGTTGAAAGGGTTTTTAAGGCTATTGAAAGAGTTTACAACTTGGATTAGCAAGATGAACTTCCCAGATCACTGGGAATATATTATTTGTATTCCATGAGTATCTGCAGATATTGTGTTCCTGTGGGTATCTATAAATACACTATTGACATCTTACATCTTAACATTCAAGTAGCACTGTAGCTATTGTTTGATAAATATGCAGTGAAATTGTTTTAATATAAGGGGTTTTTAAAATCATAAATATTATAATCTAACGAGAAAATAAACTTATCTGATATGATGACATAACCTTAAGCTGAACCAGACCATAGTAGTAGTAGGGTTATTGAAAAGAAGATAAGCTCTTTCTCCACTTAAATATATGTTTGATGTCTTAGAAATCATATTTTCTTTTTAGATTGATAAATACATCTGAAATGCTGAGAATGTACTGTAAGCACAATTACAGAATGACTGCTTTGCTACCTGTGGCCAATCATAAAAGGATCATAAGTAATAGGGCAGGCTAATGAGATTGTCTTAGGACATTTTTGCCTCTCTACAATTTTCTCTATTACAGCAACATGCCCCGCCCCCTTTTTTGATGGATATACTGCCAAACAGAATACTGGCTATGGTCATCTGATACATTTTTTTTTCAAATAATGGCAATGGGGGCCCATATGGACAGGAAAGATTATTGTGCTAATTTACTATTTCTTTTTAATTTTTAAAACCTGTAATACAAACCTGTAAATCAGGATGGCCTGGCTCCAAATGGACAAGTATACAGAGAAACAGTAAACATGGTGGACTCTAGTTTTTGAAGATATCTACCTTGAAGGAGAAGGTGTTCTTTATTAAAAATGTAACTGCTTAATAGAGTTTGGAACTGGTAATGAATATTTCCAGCAGAATTTATAAAACCTAATTTCTTTCTCCTCCTCTCTTTTCCTTTGTACAGCCTTTTGTTACGGTTTACAGATAATACATTTGATCCAGAACTTGCAGCAACAATTGGTAAGTTTGTATTGATTGTATTAGCTTGATCAAATATAGAATATGAAGCAGTGCTAACATATTTTGTTGCTTGATAAAAGTGGAATCATTGTAATTGAGAAAGCTCATTCTGATTCTAGTATAATTGAAATAGAATACTGATTTGCCCAGTTGGATTACAAACTTTTCATTAAGTATAGGCATCTTACAAAATTTAACTTTTCTAACAGAATAAAGAAATTAAACATGAAGCTGCTCCTCTACCATTTAGTTATTAATCTTATAAGGTTCTCTGTTTACAGTGATTGTTAGCATTTGAATATATCCATATTAATTGAAATATCTGATATATCATTGTATCCAATTTTGATTATACCTTGAATAGACTTACAAAAAATCAATCAGACCTAATCTAAAATAAGTTCTATTTTGATGTTTCTGTTCTTAAAACTATTAAGCTTGATTCCAAAGTACCATGGTACAATTGTACTGAAGCCTTCACCTTACATATGTTGGTTGAATGTTTCTTTTTTTGCATTCCTTTTTATTGTATATTATCTGTATATACATTTAATATATTGATTTGCGTTGTGTTGTAAACTTTTTGGCCTCCAAAGAAAGCAAAAAATCAACAATCCCAAAATAAAGACAAAATCTAATTCTTGATTTGTTTACATGAACCAACTGTGCCTATTTGTCTTTTAAGAGGTTTTTTTTTAGTATATAGTCTGATGCTGTGGAAAGTTGGAAGGCATATCTTATAATCTATTTCACAAAAAGCTGCCATAATGAAGCATGGTAAGAATTTGGTGAAGTATGTACTAATCAGAGAATTCTAAGTTTGGAGCATATAAACAAAAAGCATTGACTTTATAATTGTACTTTGGCTTTCAATCTGTTGCTATGATTGCTTAAATTCAGCTAATATGTTAAAAGCTTTCAGAAATTGTATAAATCCTTCAAAAGCATGGGAACATGTATAAACTATTTTCTTTTGTATTACTAAGCTACAGAGTGACTTACGGTACATGTACATGCATGCAAAGATAGCCCAGAGCAAATTAGTCAGGCAATTATGTAAAAACTATGTCTAATGATTTGAAGGGACCTATTTCACTTGCACTCCCATACATTAAAAGGAACTTCTTTTGAAGGGTATGGAGCTCTGCTATTTTTTGCCCTTTTATCTTAATTATTTGCATAGTATATGAAAGTTTATATGATATTGGGATTTTAATGTTTATCCTTTCTTGATGATGAATACATTGATATACTAGAGAGGCCCATTTTTTTTTTCTATACTTATAATCTTGAAAAAAATGATTAATATTAACTAGAGTCCTCTTTACAGAATGAACTTTCCTACCTAGTTGCATAATTTTAAGCTATTACGTGTTTTTACTGTAATGTTATTTTATTTGATGCCTTCAAGTTAATGTTGACTCCTAGCGATTGTTTGGAGAAATCCCTGCAGTTTTCTTGGTAATATTTCAAAAGTGGTTTTCTCTTGCCTTCTTCCTAGTGCTGGCCCAAGTTTGCACATCTGGCTTCATGCTTAAAATGGGATTAGAACTCACAGTCTCTTAATTTCCAACCTGGTACTTTAAGCACTATGCCAAACTGGCCCCCTTAAAAATGCTTCTTTATTAAAGCTCTAATTTGGCTAATATTTGAATATAGTTAACAAATGAAAATTGTGCTATTGATTTTAGAATAGTTTGCAAACTTTTCAAATCAAATATCTTATAATTCAGTTTTACAGTATTCATGTTTACTGAAAATATAGTAAAGAAATCCTGTTACAGTTTTTTAGATGCAAAGATATGTGTGATGTGCCTAATAACTACAAAAGCAGGAGGAGGAGATCTGATTCAAATCAGTGAGATGGTCATCATGTTTTGAAGGGCTTTTTTCTAGTGGGTTTGTCACTAATTAGATTAATTGGATAAAGGAGCATGTAATCTTAAAGAGCATCTAAAGATGGTATTAATCAGGAGGAAAAACATATTTTTGTAAAGACAATTCAGTTTTGTACATTTTTTTAAAATATTAAAGTAAATGATTCTGAAACAATGTAATAGAACCTTTAAAATTTACTTGCATATCACTTAACAATGCAGAGTTAATAGTACATTTAGCATTTTGAGTGTAGTTTATCACATTTAACACTGCCCACTTAATCAGAATGACTCTGGGTGGTGTACAGTTAAAAGCATAAAAATATAAATTTTATAAAATATACTTAAATAAAAGGAGCCAAGTATAACAAAATAAGTTAAAGGTTAAAAGGTGTCAGAAACAAGGTGGGTCCCAAACTCCTTCAATATTAAAACTTAAAAAGAGGTAGGAGAGTGCTGTAGGTCAACAGTTGGTGGAGGAATTTCCTCACAATCCCAGGCAGCAGAGGGTGATGTAGCTCTTAGAAGAGAGATTTGGATGAGGAAAAATGGGTAAAGTAATCTGGACTCCAGGACATATAATGTATAATACACCACCTTATTTTGCCTGTGGCTTTGAACACCCAAGTGTTCCATGAAAGGTTACTGGGGTTCCCTGGGAGATCTTGATTTATTTAAAAAAAAGTGGAGACCAAAGGAAAAAACCTCTAACCCCTAACTCTGGATTCGCCTGCAGAACCCTGGCAGGAACCAGGGGTTGCATGTACATGTGCCACAGGGAGGCAGGCAAAGTGCAAGCTGAGGAGGAGGGCTTGGAGAGAGATGCTGCTGGCGCCTCCCCATCTGCGGCCCCAAGGCTCTCCTTGCCGGCGGTGCACGCTTGTCTTTCACAGGTGCACCAGCCCAGAGGTCTCTTGTCTCAGGGCAGGTGCAGGAGATCCAGGGATGGATTATCTCGGGGAGCAACGGCAGAAAGAGCTACCCAAAAAGGTGGGGGTAGGAAAAGATTTGTGTTTGTGGAGGCTTTGGCATCAGAACGCTACAAGATCAGAAAAGATTGAGGAGTCCAGATATTAAGGGGAGAAGGGTATTGGAGATTGCAAGGTATCCGCCCTCCCACTCTAATTTTACATGTACTAATGTTCTGTTACCTTATACCATGATGCCGTTGGTAAAAGTGATTAACACACACCCCTGACCATCCACAGTAAGTAACACACATTTACAAAAAGACATACTATTTTCTTGAATACAGGGCTGCATTTTGCATGAGACAAATGGTGTATAAAGGGCTGTTCTGCCCCCTATAATTGTACTGGTTTTATGTTTCTCAGTCATTTTTGCAGAGCTCATAAAATGAGTGGGCCTCACTTTATTAGATACTTTTTAGTGAATTAATTATACAGCTACAGAATTGTTCATTTTATACCTGAGCCATAAGTTCATTCATCAAACAGCTTCTTACAAAGTTACAAAAAAAAATACAAAAATAAATAAATAGAAACAGCAGAAGTTAGAAATAGTATGAATCCCGCAAACCATAGATTGTGTCTCATATTATTTGCTCCCCCATTCTCCCTCTGTGTTGCTTGCAATGAAAGACTTTGATGTTTATAAAAATGCAACCCCTCTATGGTTTGCTCTTTAGTGCTGAATTTCTTTAAGAAGATGCGTTTAATATTAGTATTATTTATAATATGTGTTAAAATACCACTAAAAGTCTAGTCTATGTTCTTCCAAATTATTCCACAATAATAGAATAAGAAGAACATGTGATCACTTTCAGAATTAGTGCATACCAATCTGTCTTTCATTCAGCGTTTTTCCTATATACTACTACTACTGCTGCTGCTGCTACTACTACTAATGTTGGAAGGGACCTTGGAGGTTATCTAGTCCAACCCCCTGTTCAAGCAGGAAACCCTTTATCATTTCAGACAAATGCTTGTCCACAGTCTGTTCTTAAAAACTTCCAGTGTTGGGGCATTCACAGCTTCTGGAGGCAGGTTGTTCCACTGATTAATTGTTCTAACTGTCAGGAAGTTTCTCCTTAGTTCTAGGTTGCTTCTCTCCTTGATTAGTTTCCATCCGTTGCTTCTTGTCCTGCCTTCAGGCGCTTTGGAGGAAAGCTTGACTCCGTCTTCTTTGTGGCAGCCCCTGAGATATTGGAACACTGCTATCATGTCATCCTCTGGTGACATCTCAATATCATGTCTGAAACAACATATTGTGCTCTTGTGTTTTAGGTGTTGACTTCAAAGTGAAAACAATCTCAGTTGATGGAAATAAGGCTAAGCTTGCAATCTGGGTAAGTCTTAATAATAAAATATATGACTCCATTACTAACTGAATATGTTGGCAGTTAACAGCACTATCTGTAAGTAAGAATTTATCTTATTTTGGTGAGATTTCAAAATACTGGTGAATAAGTATGATGTTTTGTTATGTTTAAGCAAAGCATAAAATTTTAATCTTTAGAAGGTTTGGGTACTTGTAGTTATATTGCTTTTCAGAATTTGAGCTATTTGCAAGGAATACTGTAATATGAATAATTGAAATATATTCTTTCATGTTCTTATCGAGATACTTTGTATTCTTCCATATCCACGTAATAACGATAGAGCGAGGAAAGCCAATTTTAAAAATCTCATATTACACAGAAAAGAAAGCACTGGCCATTTGGTGTTTTCTAATTAATTAATATGAAAACATAGAGGTTTGTTGGAAGGCAGATTGAATAAGCTTTGACCCTAAGTCTCATCTATTTTATAGGGCTGTCAAAGGACAAAACAAATGGCAGAAACCTAGCTCTGCTATAAAATATGTGTCCGGGATTAGTTTAATACTAGGAACAGAATAAGTCAGTGTTTTGCCAGGAGCTGCCATGTGGCACAGCTGCTAGGAAGAGGGCAAGGAAGCACCCTGAAGAGAGAGTTCGGAAGAAGATGCAGCAGCTTCTTCATCCCACGTGTCATCAGAGCTTGGGTTGGCAAAGGCCCCTTCAAGACTGCCTTCTTGTTCCATACGTTTGGGTAGGGAAGTGTTGCGCTTCCCTCACACTGAGAGGTGAAATCCTTTCCTAGCCTAGTTTCTCAGCATATGCTGAGATGATACATTATCATTGGTGTTGCTGCCAACCTCGGTGTTCCTTTCCCAGAATGGCTATTCTCTTCCCACCCAGCAAAGGAGCATAAAGGGGCTGCTCACCCACCTGGGATGGGTGAAGGTGCTGGGGAGAAAATTCAAAGGTAAGTAGGGATGCCTGCTTCAGCCATAGCAGCATCTTTTTCCACTCTGAAGCTGACAGGTCCTGACCTGGGCTGCGACAACAGTTGGATGAGGAATTAGATGCGCAACCTCCAGATTCAGAGTTTCACGTTCTTCTTCATTTTTAGTCAATCTGTACTGCCTAGCCATGGTCAGCAATCTTGCTAGCATACTGCTGGATATCACTCTCCTGCTGCATGTGTCATTGTGGCACCGGCTGCAGAAAATTATATGCATGTAGTCTGTGAGTCACAAATTTGAGACTTCTACCCTAAAGGATCATTTTAATAATCTGGCAGATTTACATCTATTTATATCTAGAGATTATTAGAAGTTGATATGAGCTCTGTGGCAAGGACTGACTTTTTCCAAAATTAATCTGGTTTGCTAGGAATAACTCTTCTTCCATAGATAGAATTTAGCATTGGTGAGCCAAGTATGGTTATCAAGTGTTTCAATTGTTTATGAAACTGTCTGGGAAATTGCTCTAGAAGAGGCATATAGGTAATAATACAAAATGAAACTGGTTGAATAAAGTCATAACCAGTGTTATGAGCTTATGATACAAGCTGGATTCTCATAGCATATTAGGCTAACACGTAGTTGACTAGTTTGCAGTTCAAATATTATATGAACAACTGCTTTTTTTAAGGAGGTGAAATACACAGCTTTCTGAATTTTTTTAGGACACTGCAGGTCAAGAGCGATTCAGAACATTAACACCCAGCTATTACAGAGGAGCACAAGGAGTTATATTGGGTAAATTTATGACTACTCACCGCTTATCTGAAAATACTCTAATTTTATTAAGACTTAAGTTTTTAACTCTTTTGCCTTGATGAAATTCTAGCAGAGTATCTGTCAGCTTTATGGTATTTAGCATTTAACACTGTCAAGTTATAAAGTTATTAAGAGTAGGAAATCAGTTCTGTGGGAATTGCTAGAAGGTGGTATAAGTAGTCTTTGGCTTATGTCTATATTTGAGACCAGAATTAGTCGTAAGTGTGGTGGTGGTTAAGTGAGTCATCACACTGATTTTGTTAAATTTTTTGTGGCAGTTGCTAAGGGAACCCATTTTCTTTAAATGATATTTTTTGCCGGAAACTGGAAGTAAATACTGGAGATTGGCAAAAACCACCAAAAATTACAGCATGACCATGGGATGCTGCAAATGGCTGTTGCCAAGCGCCCAAAATGTGATCACATGACACATTCTCCCCTCTCTCCCCCTGCACTCTGTGTGTGTGTGGGGGGGCATTGGAACTCTGAATTGGGTTGTAAATAGCTCTGGGAAAGTTGTTCTTAACTTTGAACAGTTGCTAAGATATCAGTTGTTAAGTAAGGACTACCTGGACTTCACAATGCATTGTTCCTGATTCTGCTGTTTGTCCTCATCCTGGGGTTCTCAAGAAAGGCTTTTCATTTTTTTAATATCAAAGCAGCTGCAGTTGGCTTCAGTTTGACATGGGGGTGGTAATATTTCTTTTCAGCAAATTCCTTGCTCAGAATTCTTTTCTAATTTGCACATCTAAAGAGGAGAATTTGAAACTGGCAAATTCACCAGAAGGGTAATGAAATAATTGCTTGTCTGATTGCTATATCTTTAATCTGAATTTACATATATATATTTTATGTAGTAAGAAAGGCATTGATAGGAATTGTGGGCCATCTGTACCATAGTTTCTTCAGAATTAATATTTCGGGGATTTGTGTTCTCATGGGAAGAAAATGTCAGCTTGGTATAAAAAGTTATCAAAAAAGAATTATCAATCTCCTTTCATCTTCTGACTTCTTGATTTGCTATGTTCAGATTTGCTGATATTGTAAAAATATAATAATGAAATGGAGATGGAATATCTCTCTGTAAGCTATAGTGTATTTGTGTAAGACAGTATCTATGGGTTTAGGCACGGACCCTTGGCCATGCCTTCTTCGCCCCCTGCCACCCTCCTCAGCCCATTTACAGCCAGCTTTTCTTCTTGGCTGGCCATCCCCCAGCCATTCTTCTTGGCCAATTTGCCGTTGGCCCTTTGGCCCGGTCCGCAGCAGGGCTGTGTGTGAGGGGCTAGCATGCAATGCAAGTACTGCGGTTGCTCCGCAAGTTTTGGGGCCTTGCAGATCTGTCACTAGGCCTGGAGGGAGGGGGAGTGGTGTGAGTAGCAGCCGCCGAGGCCATTGGGGAGCAGACAGGCGAGAATGTGTTGGGGGGACCAGGAAGGGCGCCTCAAGGGGGCTTGACAAAGGCAGCTTGGCTCAAAACTCAAATGAAAGGGGAGGAGGAGCAAGACTGGTGCGGCTTCTGATATTGCGGGGGGGGGGGGCTGGAGGTGCACAGGTGAATGGCAAGGCTGGTGCGACTTCTGCAATTGGGCGCGGCAGGCTAATAGAGATGGCCTGCAACTTCTGCAATTGCGGGTGGCGGGAGGTGCGGCAGGTGAACAGAGGTGGTGCGTGAACTGCCCGTTTGGTGTCAGGGCAGAGGCAATGAAGGGGAGGGTGGGAAAAAAAGTCACTGCTCCACAGGTGTTTTTTTTTAAGCTGTCAGAAGCTCTGGGCTGAGTGGGCAACAGACAAGCAGTGGTGGGTGGGTGCTTCCCATTTTGTCCGCCCTCCCCTCCGTTGCCTCTGCACCTGGACTCCGGCCTGACACTGAATGGGCAGTTCGCACGCTATCTCCATTCGCCTGCTGCGCCCCCCCCCCGCCAAGCTGTCCACAATTGCAGAAGCCACCTTGGCCTTGCCATTTGTCTGCGCACCCCCCAGGCCCCTGCAATACCAGAAGCCGGGCCAGACTTGCTCCTCCTCCCTTCTTTTGTTTGAGTTGCAAGCCAAGCTGTCTTTGTCAAGCCCCCTTGAGGTGCCTCTCCCTCTCTTCCTGGTCCCTCCCAAGACACCCTCACCTTTCTGCCTCCCCATGGCTCCGGCGGTTGTTACTCCCACCGCCACTCCCCCTCTCCAGTCCTAGTGACAGATCTGCAAAGCCCAAAACATGCACAGCAGCCACAGTGCTTTTTTAAAATATCGCATGCTGCCTCCCCCCCATAGCCCCTGCGATTGCCAATCGCAAGCTGTCCCCACAGCACCATGGCTTCTGCCTGCACCCGATTGACACGGGGATATTTGTCCTGTGCAGCCAAAGGCCTGGGTCAAACGGTGTCTGGGTGAATGAGCCGGGCTGAAGGGCAAGGGGCTATAGGCCCATTGGCCAGGGAGAATGGCTGGGGGAAGGGCCAGCAGAGGAGGAAAGCTAGTTGAAAATGGGCTAAGATGGGTGGCAGGGGGCAAAGGAGGCACGGCCAAGGGTCTGTGCCTAACGTCTGATTCCAGTATCTACATATGGTTATCCAGATATTTGGTTGTTAACCACATTCTAGCTTTTGTCACTGAGACTAGGCGATTCGGCGTTCTTAGATTTGGTTTTAAACACATAATAAAACTGATTTTAGAACAATTTTGAGCATTAATATCAAATAAAACAAATTAGTATAACTGCTTAGTTAGATTTATATAGCTATGAGTAATGGTTATCTAGATGTTGGTAATGTAATAATATGAACAGGAGAGAAAGGCAGTAATATTGTAGTTTGAATTTGAAAATAATTGACTTAATGTTCACATGACTTGAATTGTTATGGTAATAACCATGCAAATTTTTATTTCAGTTTATGATGTCACAAGAAGAGATACATTTACTAAACTAGACAATTGGTTAACTGAATTGGAAACATACTGCACAAGATACGACATAGTTAAAATGCTAGTTGGAAACAAAATAGATAAGGTAGGTCGATTAAAAATTACCAGTGGCATATAAACTCTGTGTGTGTGTGTGTGTGTGTGTGTGTGTGTGTGTGTGTGTGTGTGTGTGTGTGTGTGTGTGAGAGAGAGAGAGAGAGAGAGAGAGAGAGAGAGAGAGAGAGAGAGAGAGGTATCATCTAATTCTACTGTTTTTTACAGGAAAACAGAGAAGTTGACAGAAATGAAGGTCTTAAGTTTGCACGAAAACATTCCATGTTATTTATAGGTGAGTTCTTGAAATGAACTATGATGAAGCAATTTGCAGTTTGTACAATAAAATGATACAATAGCAGCAATTATGTAGACTGAACTACGTAACATAATAGATGAAACATATATAAAGCCCCTGGGTATTCAGAAAAGATCCAGATATAATTTCAATATAAGCAGAATGCATGGTCCTGCTATCTCTTCCAGGCACAGAATTTCTCTTTTCTTCTGACAAAACAATAAGTAATCTGTTTCTAACGCAAAGGACATTAGACCATGTTGGTTACAGCCTGACTAAATGAGATGGATATTTTTGATAAGGTTGAACTTGGATGGCAAACAAAAGTATTAAATGATAAAACATGATAGAAGAGTATAAAGCTTCTTTAATCGTGACTTGCTGTGGGAATTTTTTTGGCTAAAATTAATAGTTATTACAAAGCTATCCTGTAGTGCATATTTGTAGCAGAATGCTTCAAGGATTGATAACAGTACAGGTAATCCTCAACTTATGATGGTAGAGGAACCTGCCCATTAACAGCTGTAATTCACGATAGTCGTAAAATGGATCAGTCACATGACCAACCTGATTTTACAAATTTTTTTGCAGCAGCCATTAAGTGAAAGCAGTGATCATAAAGCAGCCACCATGGTTGTTTAAGTTGAAATGCTCCAGTGAACCAGTGGTTTGTTAGGGTTAGTGAACCAGTGGTTTGGGGTTTTGCCAAAAACTGGAAAAAAAATGTTTTTTGGCAAATGGTCGCATGATTAGAAGATGCTGCAAATGGCTGTAAATGCAACCTAGCTGCCAAATGTCCGAATTTCAGTCATATAAGTGAGGCGGGGGGGGGGCGTTTCGACCACTGGAACTTCAAATCCAGGTCATAAGTAGGTCTGTTGTAACTTTGAATGGTCACTAGTTGACCCAGTCATAAGTTGAGAAGTACCTGTAGCAGCTTCCTGGTTTCATGCAGTGTTCAGCTCTGATCATTCATAGTCCTAAAGCAATGAAAGGTAACCCCAGTGAAATGAAACATTAACACTTTCCGTGACTTTTGTGCCTTTTTCTATAGCAAACATTTGAACTTTTTTTTGTGTCTCCCTAATTCATAAGTGTTTTCTAGTAGCCTGGAAATGGGCTTTCATGATGAATCAAAACAAAATCTAAACACATTTTCCTGAAAGCATTTTTGTTCATGGATTCACTTGCCTGCACTCTCTGACTTTTAGTTTCACTGATACCTACTTAGAACTCTCTTTAAGTTTTAAATTAAACTCCCCAGGGCAGAATCTTGCTTATTTCTTTTCAAGTGTCTTGCAAGTGTAAAAGAGTTTCACAAACAATTAGGAAAAGACTGGAAGGCATTACTAAGGAAGAAGGTTGTCTTTCAGCTTGTCCTCAAATATTTTCCTCTACATTACATATTCATTGAAGCGATAATGTGAAATTGCTTCCAATGAACCCAGGTAGTCTAACCTGAATATCTATGTTTCTAAATCTTCAGCAACACAGTGGCTTTCATAGCAAATTAATCTATGGCCATTGAAAACAGAAACAGTGATAACTATAGAAGTAACTAATAATTAAGTCAATTATTTTAACTAATTTTCATAAAATTTAACTTGGGGGGAGAAAATACAGATTTGTGGCTTGTCATGAAATAAACCTGTTTCCCAGATGGGTTTGTATTTGATTGACCTTTCATAAAGTAGTCTTATCTCTGTCAAACAAATAGTGATGGGTAATGTGTAACCTTTATGCACTGCTCCTGCCCTTTTGTATAGGCCTTGCAACCAATGAAATTGTGGGAATGAAATTGAGTAACAAGCTACTAGTTTTCAATCATTCATTCTTCTGCTTGCCTTTTAAAATAAAGACTAAAATGGTTGCATCACATCTGGTAGATTCAGCTCAATCCTTTCAATGTTTTATGATCAGAGTTTCTTGAGTTCCATAGTTTGGAAAAAATATATTAACAAACCCTCCATAAGTGTACCCAAAATTATATACATTTCCTCCAATAGTGGTGCATTTTATTAATGCTGCAAATTTATAGGATGGCTTTCTTTCATGTTCTAGAGAAGGTGCAATAATGTACATGTACAGTGAAGCCTTTTTTTTACTATCACCACAATTTATTTCTCTCCCCACCCTGTCTCCCTTTTAGAGGCAAGTGCAAAAACATGTGATGGTGTGCAATGTGCTTTTGAAGAACTTGTTGAGAAAATAATTCAGACACCTGGACTGTGGGAAAGTGAAAGCCAAAACAGAGGTGTAAAATTATCGAACACTGAAGAGGGCTATCGGGGTGCCTGTGGTGGCTATTGTTCTGTGTTATAAACTCTGTAGGATTATTTACTTATTTAAGAGGTAGAAATATCCTCTGTACATAAACTCATATCTGCTATTTTAGGGACCTTGCAGTTTGCACATATTTGTGTAGTATGGCAGGGAACATTTTCCTTAGAAAATGTATTCTGCAGCTTTTCCAGTGGAGAAATGCTGTGATAAGCATGCCAACATTGCAACGTTCTAGTTTTTTTTTTAATTCATAGCATCCCATTTTGCTAGGGACATACTCATATTTCCTAACTTTATCATGGAATATTTGGACAACTTTATGTTGACTGTAAAATCTGACTGGTCTCTAACCCAAATCACAGGATTGTTTGAGATACATCTTAAATGATGCAAGCAGATAGAAGTAAAACATGCACTTCTTACTGGCAATTGCTTTTTCTAACCTGTTTAATAGCATGATGATACAATCTTTTTTTAGCTATAAGCAACACCTTTTTTTAGTTTGTAACTTGTCCTGGGGTGATTGTGAACTTCAAGGGAAGGGAAAGGATCACTTTTTAACTGATCACTGTAATAACTGTACTTTGCATCACAAAGTTCACAATGCAAATCTGTAGGAGGATGCTTTCTGGTTAAGGACTTCACAGAGTCCCATTATTAATCATCTTGCCAAGTTTTGAACGTTTCTTTGTGTTACTAGTGTAATTTGGACTCGGTAACTCAAAAACTACTGCGCCTTGGTGTTTTAAAGCCTTGAATTAAATGGCTGTTGCATTTGCAGCTATTGGCTCTGATCCATAATTGTTGAAAGTATCTCCTGGATATGTGTGTCTGTGTAAGGAATATGCTGTTTTGTTGAGGTTTTGCTGTAACAAACAGCTTGTGGCTGGCTTGTTTCAGAGAACTTGTATCGTTAATAAATTTTTTTCGACAGTATTGTTTATTCCCCTCTAATATCTTGCTCATGTATGAATGAATTTTGTAAATCATAATGCAAGGACTACTTCCGTTATATGCAATATTGGTACCCCCTTCTCGTTAAAAATTAATAATCTAAGTAAGCAATTTAAAATATTGTGCAGTTTCCTGTAAATATGGAAATAGACATGTTTATGCTTTTTTGTACACTTTACAAACCATTGTTGGTTTTTCAACCAACAATAGACTGCTGTTCCGATTTGAATGCATTTCACTTTTAATATTTCATTTTCTTTACATTTTTAGAAAACCATGGAGATTACTCTAATGAAAAATTGCATTTAAAATAACAGTGTTTCATAGTGCGTTACACATTATATAATGCCAATTGATTTCCATCTCTTTTGCTGAGTAAATTATAGATCAGCAAACTGGCATGTTTCTTTGTAAGGCAGGTAAGGGAAGAATGAAATTTTATTGTAGTGTTTAGTGTAGTGTTTTTAACATTGTAATAAAGATTTGTGAAGTAGGAATATATGCCATTAAAAAAACATGATTTGCTTACATTTTCCCCTGATGTTGTTCTGACCCATTTGATGTTTTGGATTAATTTGAGGAATAGGCTTTTTTTTTTCAAAAATCCCCATTTTCTACCCCCAGGTGAAATTCATATTGTGTGTCTAAAAAGGTGAAGCCCTTTGAATTATAGAAATAATAAAATCCTTTCATGTTTTATGCTTCTTTATGCTTTCTCTGGAAAAAAGAGACGCAGGATTTTTCAAGACACCGAACTTTGCACTCTAATCAGTGAATATACAAAACCAATCCACAGTAATTGAAAATTGCCCTAGACACCACATATATGAATGGACAAAACTAATCTTTTATTGGAATGTTGTATAGAATGGGAATTATAAAGTCTCATTCAAGTACTTCCCTGAAAAGTAATTAAAATTAAACTAATAAATCATTTGATACCATCTATAATTATACCTAATACAAAGTTGAAAATGTATCCTTCCAGCAAATTGCCTGTGTCTGCTTGATTGGAGAGGGAAAACATTGATTGGAGGATAAGCACAGTTTTGAGGTAAAAAATAAGGCAGACCACATTAACTGTCATTTTATCTCATTCTTTTTTCACGAATGAAGGAAAATGTATGTGTCCCAGTATAATTTTTGTTGTTTTTTCTTCTTCTGATCAGTCGTGTCTGATTGTCGTACACTTATTTTCCTTAGTATCCTGTTAAATGAGAGAATCCAATTTTGATAACATCTCAAATCCATAAGGAAATCCCATACCAGAGAAGGTATACATTCAGGGAAATGGGAGCTGAGTTAATAAAAGTATGGATGAAGCTTTATACTTGCTTAAGGCACTAATTTTATATGTTGAGCTCTAGAGGTTACATCTCAAAATGACTCCAGGCCTTGCTCATTTTACTCTCAATGTGCCCTTCAGAGGCTGATGTTGCCCTTGAGCAAACAGAATTCATGGATAAAGATGTATTCATTTCAGTTTATTAAGCCTTAATATTAAGCATTGGAACATCTTTAAAAGAAGGTTAAAATTGAATCCCTATTGATCGCTTTAAGATTGTATTCTTTGAAGGAAGATTGGCCTATTAAGCAAATTTGTTGCTTAGATTAGCACCTTTTTGGAAAGTATGGAGGACCAGCTATTTAAATTAGGTTAGTTGATAAGGAAAACAGTATAATCAAATGTATGGTTATGTTATAAAAATTACTTTGCAAAAGTTTTCTGTCCTCAGTGGTCTTTGGTATATCTTGGTTAGAACTGAGCTACTGTACTGGTTCAGGTATTTCCCTAAACTGGATTCAATCTAATACTTTGGTATCTATTTGAAATAATGGCATGATTTAATACTAAGATATGTGGTGTAAAGGTAGTTTTTCTGGACATAATTAACATCTTGAAATATTAAAATGGCTTTTTCATAGAAAGCTTCTAAATATTTGGTTTTGCAGAATTCTTTTCTTACCAGCATTCAACTGAAACCACTTTTTGAACCCAAATTCACATTCCTAGGAATGCTGCATCTACTCCCTTGACAACAAACTGATGTACAACTGCAAAATGAACATTTTTGACTTAACAGCCATAAGCAGTAAAATAGTTGTTGGTAAATTATCTCTTAGCTGTGAAGATAGATAAAACTAAAACAGACTGCATAACAGCAAGCAGCAAATCTGAGAAAGTATGGGTATAAAATACGTAGAACTACATAATAAGCAAAGCTTTTGCTGGGTAGACATCTGTGACGAAGTACACAAATGCAATCCAGCACAGCATTTTGCTATTCTATGAGCAAGTTAGTTGTAATGCAAGATTTGTTTGACAGGATGCTTGCTGAAAAATATGCTTGTACAAACCAAAGTGTTTACAATTTTCAAAAATGACACTAAAGTAACGGTAGATTTCTTGCTTCAGTGTTACACAGAAAAAAAAAATGAAGTCAACTGAGTTTAGTCTGAAGGAGCTATTTCTCTCCAGCTCCACATCACCTTGTTTCTTTCTTTCTTTATTTATTATTTATATTTATATCCCGCCCTTCTCCTTGCGGACTCAGGGCGGCTAACAACCAGATAAAAAATGCAAATCCCAAAACTACAGATTAAAACATAATTAAAAACAAATATTAATAATTGGTCTGATTAATTTAAAATTACTTTAAAACCTTGTTTCTTTATATGTACATTTCGTAAATGTTAAAAAGATAGCCAGTAGGTGTGAAATGAAATAGACAATATTTTCTTCTAGTTGAGAAAACTCGAACTCCTGGGAATGGCATTTGAGTACATTGTGTACCATCCTTTGATCATGGTTGACTTATGTAACCTTAATATTTATGGAAGATCATAGTAGGTCCTTTTACCAGCAGAAGCAGCTCACCAAAGGCATTTCTTACCAAGGAAGAAAAAATTTGGACTCCACCTTCAGCAATAGGAGAAGACTACTCATATTAGTTGTACATAAGCTTCTGAAACATCTGCCCCTTTAGAAATTGCTGAACGAGGACTCCTTGCCAGCATGACTTGTCATTCAGATTCCCCCCCCAATCCTCTAAAACATTGACTATTGGAGGGTATCGTATTAAAAAGAACACACTATTAGCAATAGCACTTATATACCACTTCATAATGCTTTCTTTTTATAGGATTCATTTTTGAGCTTTCAAAATTATGTAAAGTATTGCCTTCTCTACATTTTGGATTCTTAAAAAGGTCTTATTTGTTAAAATGCAAGGAATAAATAAACGGGGGTAATTCAGTGTTGAAAAATTTACTTAATGTGGATTTTACCAACTGGTTATGCCAATCCAATAAAATGGGAGAGGACATTTGAAATAGTATCTTCTGAGGTTTACAGGTATGATTAATCATGAATTAACCATGGAATAAAGAGCTGTGGAATAGACAGCCACAGTTCCTATTAAAGATTATGCAGATCTGGAGAAAATATTCTGATGCAAACACATCACACTGATAAAAAAGACTTATATTGTTAAAGCTATGGTTTTCCTAGTCATGTGGCTATGTGAACTGGATCATCATGCTGAATCAACAAAGTGCAATGCATTTGAACTGTGGCCCTGGAGAATATGAGAATATCTTGGAAGCCAAGAAGAACAAATCATTTTGTGCAAGAGGAAATAAAAACCAAAGTGCTTATTAGAAGCACTAAGAATAGATTAGGTCATTATTTCTCAACCTTGGGAACTTCAAGGCATGTCGACTTCAACTCCCAGAATTACCCAGCCGGACATGGCTGGTTGAAGAATTCTGGGAGTTGAAGTTCACATGCCTTAAAGTTCACAAGGTTGAGAAATACTGGGTTAGGTATTTTAGACACATAATGTGAATGCCACAATCATTGGAGAATCTTGATGCCTGGAAGAACCAAAGGCAATCAGTAAAGAAGCTGATAGAAGACAAGATGGCTGGATACTGTTACTGATAATTCATACATAAATTTAGAAGAACCCAAAGAAGCAGTTATTCTGGCAAAGCGATGCCCATCTGACTGGGAAGAAAACAATATTGGCAAGAAGATTATTAAAATCAGGCTGCCTGATATATCAATCTTGGAGTGACAGCACATGGATACCTCTGTGCATGCAGTTTACTAGTTAAACCTGCCATTTTCCCAAGTCTAAGTCTATTAGACATAGAACTACTTTGCTTTTCCCTTTTCGAATGCTTCCCTTTCGGTATCTGGAAAACATTAATCCTGCTCCCCTCTTCATCACCTCTCTCTCATGCTATCTTAGCACTTTTTTTTGTTTTAAAGATGACTTCCCGTGTGATGGAGGAGTGAGGTAATAACCAAGCTACTTCCCCCCCTGTAATATAATTCATTTGTGTATATATTAATAAATAGCAATCTCTAATTCTTGATTAAAACTGCTATATATACTCTCTTCTCAATGAAAGCACAATTCATACATTTGCATTTGGTCTTCTGGTTCACTAGAAAAGATAATTTCTATAGCTTTATACCTATGTCTTCACTTGAGAGTGCACAAATGCAAGTTTATTTGCTTTAATGTATACTCTGCCCAAAATGGCATACTTGACCTTCAGTCTCCTCCATCAAAACAGTGTGGTGAAGTAGGCTGAGATGGAGAAACACAGGAATGACATACAACATGTATATAGCAGCTCCCTTAATAGTCTCTTGCAAAGAAGCAAAATAATTGCAGCTTGTCTGATCTTTGGTTTGTTTCCCTCTCTTTTTAGCTAGCTTAGATCAAACCCAAATCCCACAAAATTATATTTTATACATGCTGTTAAAGCTTAGTTTGCTTAATGAGTGGTGGGAAAAGCAACATGGGTCAATAACAGTCAGTATCAAACAAAATATTGGCTGGGCTTAAACAGCACAGCAAGTAAAATTCAGCACAACCCTATTATGTTGCAGTGTAATGTATGGGGTCAAAAGCAATATAGCCTTGAGTCAACACAAATTTTATATGCTATTTCTTGCTCTTAATTGC